GAGAGAGAGAGAGAGAGAGAGAGAGAGAGAGAGAGAGAGAGAGAGAGAGAGAGAGAGAGAGAGAGAGAGAGAGTCTGTTTGTGCCTGAGAAGAGAGGGGTTGATCGGGGAAGTAAAGAGAGGAAAGGGGCGAAGGAAACGGGCGTGAAAAGGGTGCGTTTGCTGGACGACCATGGCGGGAAAATCGGGCACCGGACGATACGACAAAGGGATAACCCTTGGAGAGGGAACTTACGGTGTTGTCTATAAAGCCATCGACAAGCTGACTAATCGGACGGTGGCTATCAAAAAGATTCGTCTCGGGAAGTACAAAGAAGGTGTCAATGTCACAGCTCTGAGGGAAATAAAGCTTCTTCGCGAGCTGAAGGATCCAAACATCATCGAGCTCATTGATGTTTATCCCCACAAAAGGAATCTTCATCTCGTTTTTGAGTTCATGGAGAGCGACCTGGAGGCAGTAATTAGGGATCGAAACATCGTCCTCTCGCCTGCGGATGTGAAAGCCTACATGCTGATGACTCTGAAGGGCTTGGCCCAGTGCCATAAGAAGTGGGTGTTGCACAGAGACTTGAAGCCCAACAATCTGTTGATCGCTCAGTCTGGTGAACTCAAGCTGGCTGATTTTGGTCTGGCAAGGATTTTCGGCAGTCCTGACCGGAAGTTGACAAACCAGGTTTTCGCTCGTTGGTATCGGGCTCCTGAATTGCTGTTTGGCAGCAGACAATATGGTCCAGGGGTGGACATCTGGGCTGCGGGGTGTGTATTTGCAGAGTTGGTTTTGCGCCGACCTTTCTTCCAGGGCTCAAGTGATATCGATCAGCTGAGCAAAATTTTCGCTGCCTTTGGAACTCCAAGGGAGGCTCAGTGGCCCGATGTCTCTTGCTTGCCAGACTACATGGAGTATGTACATTTCCCTGCTCCTCCTCTCAGCTCATTATTTCCAACAGCCAGCGAAGATGCACTCGATCTCCTTCAGAAAATGTTCGCTTTCAATCCCAACCACAGGATTTCTGCGCAGCAAGCCGTAGAACACCGCTATTTTACCACAGAACCTGCGCCTACTCGCCCAGAGCTGCTGCCTCGGCCTCCCCGTAAGGAGTCCAATGAAGATGCTCCTCCTCCACGTGTCGAATCTCCAGGTCCACCCGTCGTTGTGTCCCCTTCTGCGAAGGCGCGGCGCTTGTCTTATCAGTCAGCTGCACCTCATTCCTCTGGAGTAAGGGAACAGGGCTCAGCGATGAGGGAACAGAGTTCACTGATGAGGGATCAGGGGTCCGTAATGAGGGATCAGGGGTCGGTCATGAGGGAGCCGAGCTCGGGGATGAGGGATCAGTCCATGTGCGGTCCTACAGGGGAGACTCCAAGCACTACAGGGGCGATGAATTCGGCAGTACCCATGTCTGTTGATAATGCTGCGGGATTCAGACCCACTCTGAATAGTGTGGACCGATCATACCTCAGGAAACGGAAGCTGGAGATGGATGCTGCATTTAGCCATGCCTAATACCGTCGCGGTGGGGTAGAAGGGTGGGGATGTGTTAGATTTCTTCCGTTACCTCCGGCTTTCTAGAGAGCCAATAACATCAACGGATCTGATTTGTCTATTGCTCTTGTGGTAAAGTTCAATAAGGCACAGAGGAAGCACTGATGATGATGATTTAACATCAATGGATCTGATTGTTGACTCCACTGCCTGCTTTTTGAGACGGAGTTCATTGTTTCGTGTGCTAGATGATCGGTCATGTCATCCCTTTCATATGTCTGTAGATCAAGCTCAACTTCATTAGCGAGTTAATAATTATTCTGGAGACTACTGGAATTCTCAACCTTTGATGTCGTATGTGCTTTTGTCAAATCAGATATGCTTCCAAAACATGCTGATCTGTTCGTGTATGCTATGGACGATCATCGCTTTTAGCGATTCGTAGATGAAACTCACCTTTTTTTTTTTTTGGTTTAATTACTCATCGTTATTCATTCACTAGCTAATGCTTCTTCTGGAGCCAAAGTTCTGCTCCCAATCTTTGATTCGTAAGTTCTGTGTCAAATCTGACATTCTTCCAAAACAACAAAGCAAAAGAAGGAAAGAAGAAAGAGTTGCGAATGAGACATTTGAAGAAGTCTTGCACGGTTGCGATTGCCAGTGTTCTGTATGTGAGGAAAAAGAACTGGACGGAGTGATGGTGGGGATGTTTCGTCGGGATTAGCCGTACCCAACACGTGGGCGGAAGAGGGTTGCGATGGAGAGGGGAGGGTTGCAGGAGGGGAGGGAAGGAGAGGAGGCAATGCGCTTGTTGTACATTTCGGTCTCCTGCCGTGGCAGCAGTAGCAGAAAAAACAAGCATGCTTTCGAAGGAGCGAGCTGAGGCTACGTGGTGGGATGACAATTGGGAATTCAGGGATGGAGAGGGTAGGAGATTGACAGCCCGTCTTATCCGTTGGACACAGGTGTGGACTGGCAAGGATAGGAGGCGATGCGATTGTTGTAGATCTCGGTTGCCTCCCGTGGCATCAAAGGAGAGAGATGCAGAGCTCTTTGGTGGATTGAGAATGGGGATTTCAGGGAGAAGGCGGTGTTATGTCTGTATATCCGTCGTGGAGAAGGCGGTGCTATGTCTGTATATCCGTCGTGGAATCTTGGTGGCAGGTTGGCGGCTGGGCGCACGGCACGGTCAGGGAGGAAGTGTGGGAGTCAGTAGTACAGGATGAGAGGTTCCGCGAAATCAGAGGTTGTACAAATTAATGCCTCAATTTCCCGGGTCACCACCTCCTGTTCATCGCCGTTGGTTTTCCTAGTAAACTCTCCCTCCCATCCCCTCCTCCTTTTCCTCTTTCGCCTTCCCCTTTTCACCTTCTTGCCCACCCTGTTCCACTTCCTTCTCGCTTATGGGGATGGAGAGATGAATACGGGGTCATAGCAGGTGAGAATGCTGAAGGAAGTGTTGATGGGGGGGAATAGGACATGGGGAACGAGAGTTAGTCGGAGAAACCGAAGGGGGTGGAAAGAACTGCGGAAGTCCGTGGATTCGAACGCTAAAGGGAGAGTATTGATGGGGGAGGGAAGAAGGGCATGGGGGGAACGAAAGCTCAGTTGGAAAAATGGTGGGGGAGTTAGAAACATGAACACTCCATTTACCGTGCTAATCCTCCAGTCTCCGGGAGTTAGAACCATCAACACTCCATTTAGTGTTCGCGTCCTCCCGTCTGCGGGAGGTGAGTGTTCGCGTCCTCCCGTCTGCGGGAGGTGCGCACCCTAAATGAAGTGTTGATGGGGGGGTGGGGACATGGGTAGCGAGAGTTCAGGAGGCAAAATGAAAGGCAGTGGGAGGGCGGGATGTTGTGGATAAGCTGAAGGGGTTGCTGATGGGCGGAGGAAAAGGGGGATGTGTTTGTACGAGGGTTTAGTAGGACGAATGAAGGGGAAGGAAAGAAAGGTGGGAGAAGTGGTTGGGGACGCTGAAGGGAGTGTTGTTGACAGAAGTCCCGATCCTTCTTCTTTTTTCCCGTTTTTTTTTTTCTTTTTCCTTCTGTCAGTGCATTAGTGAAATTTTGAAGGGTGCACAGTGTTTGCTAAGCTGGGAAGGTTGCCTTGAGCGACTGTCCCACACAAGCCGCACGATTTATGACAGCTCGGCAATTTTGTATGGTCGATTCGCTATGATGACGTGTTCCAATTGGGCCAGCACCATTCCGAAAAGCTTGCTTCGTCTGTGGAAGGCCTACCGTCCCGGTTGCTTGGGACGAGGGAAATTACGTGAGGCAGAATACCGTTTCATCGATGCCAGCAGGGACATTGTGGACGGAAAAGTGCCACCCAGCTCGTCAACTGATAGTTGTGGCTTTTACTCGAAAGTCTCTTTTGCTTGTAACCTTGCGCAGTTCTTTTCTGTTTTGAAAAACTATCAGTAACGAATTTCCAATTTTTCAATTTTCCATCTCGTCCAGTTCTTTTTGTGTATGTCTGTGTGAAGTGAAGATGAGTGTCTGATTGGCTCTGGGGAAAAGAGAGATTTGTAATTATGCGCAGTTATGTGTATGTGGAAGTGATGATGAGATTCGGGTCTGGGTTGCTATGTTTCTGTATTCGTATTTCATGCACATTGGGGAAGAGAGAGAGAGAGAGAGAGGTAGTTGGCATGCGAGCAGTAGTACAAACGTGCCGCCTCTATTTGTGATTACTGATCTCAATCTTTACGTTGGCGCATGTTGTTTTTTTTCCCACCTATGCACGAACTCCTGCTTCTGTCGGTGATGTTTTGTAATTCTCCATAATCGTAAGTTCTCCTCCTCTTCCCACCTTATTAGGCGTCATCCTGCCTTTGATTACAATATCCACCCTTTCTCGTCCTTGCCTGCAATCGTCATGCTATCCGTCGTCATCACCGACTTCCTTCCCTCTCTCCCGCCAAGCTTACGCTGGTCACCCGACCATAAACATCCACAATATTTCTGACTTCTTTGTCGCTAAGGTTACTTGAGGCGCTGGCATGGTCCATGCCAGCCACCACGGTATTACCCATCAACAGTGCAAGGGGCAGAGTGTTGTCTTGTCACTTCCTTTCCAACCACACAAATGTGTGTACTAATTGCACCCTACAAAGGAGGAAAAGGCAAAAAAGAAATGCAAAAGGAATTCAGAGAAAACAATGAAAAAGGCAAAAGAAAAAGGTATGCCAAATTTTCTTCCTTTTATCCGATCTTTCTCTGTCTCTTCCTCACACTCTTAGTCGATCGTTGTAACACAATGCATTTGTCCCTTGGGCGATCATGCGGCAGAGGTTTTGGTTTACAAGTGTTGAGATTTTGGGAGGGGTTTTGGGACTGGGAGTTGTGGCGGAGGGATGGGGGAAGTTTGAGGGTGGGGACGAGGGGAAGGTCTGAGGCTGGCGATGAGGACGAGGGTACAGGAAGGGAAAGAGAAGTACCAACACATACCTACAAAACTATGAATGTATTCAAACAGGTTGTATATAGAATAGAAACAAAGATCGAACTATTTCTCCCTGGGAATCTTGAGCTGTCTTTTGGTCATGTTGCATGCGCACTCTTCTGGAGCCGACACTCTTGTCGCTTTCCGCTTCCACGTGTGTATGAATCTTGTGATGGTGTGTTTATGTCCAGACCTGTTTGTGTGTCTGAACCATTATCCATTTTGGACCTATAATAAAGCGCTCTCACTAATTGTTGTCGTACGGACCATGGCGTTTGTATTTCTTGTGGGGTTTAGGGCCTCGCCACACCATTGTCGGGAACCTTTCTTTTTCACCAACTGTCAGACATTTTTCGCCAAGCGATTTTTCGCCAGAAACCCCCCCTTCGCCACACAGCACTGTAGAATGCACGCACTTGTGAATGTAAGATGGAAAAAGACGAACGCCCCTGAGGGTACGGCAAGCACTAGTCCATCCCGACCTCACGCCCACTCACCAATTTTGAAGAGAAGTCGATGGTGCAGCCGAGGCCTGTCAAAAACTTCGGAGTAGCAGGCTGGGGGTTCAAGAACTTTCGACAACAGGTGTAGAGAAGCATGCTCTGACAACTTGCGAATTTTCTTCCCGTCTCCAATTTTGACACCCTGTGTGGCGAAGAGAAATTATCGAAATCGTGGTTTCGACGCTGGTGTGGCGAGGCCCTTAGGCTGTCATGCTCTCCATTTCGGCAAGATCTAGATTCGTGTTGTTGGTGTGTCAGTGTGTCATTTGCAGGCCTTTGGAAGATCATGGTGTGGCAGCAGGAAGGTCAGTCTGATGTGCGAATTTCATGGGGGGCATTTGTGGAAACGTCGTTCTCGCCAAGTCACCGTGCTCTTGTTCATTCACATTCATTATGCTAATGGTACATCTCGTCATCCTCCAACACTCTTTTGATCCTCTTCTTCCTCTTCATCCTCTCTTTCATATGTTCTCTTCCTATCCTAGCCTATTCTCGTTATTCCTTGTCTGCATTCTTGTATATTCCATGTTTTCTGCGTACCCCCTGTTATTATTCCCTTAGCCTGTTTTCGCTCTCCCTGAGCTTTGATTTTCATTTTTGACTTCAAGCACTCCACTTTTCTATTGTTGCTTATCTATATGCATGACTTCCTCTTTCTTCAGCACCGACATGCTATACAGCTGTACTATAGGAAGAGCCGTTTCACAGAAAGAATGACAGCAATGGAGAGAGATTCTTGCTTTGGTCGGTTGCATATTGCAGTAAGTGTGGAGACTTAGCATCTCCTACAAATATATTGACATAAATGCGGTTGCAGCTTTAGCATTGCTTACCTCAGTAGCTTGTTTTATGCAGGACTGCGTGAGAAGGGCTCACGTTACTTTGAATGCTAAACCAAATCCCATTAGCAAAGGATTGCTCTTCCACATGTCACGAATGATAGCGTTACAAAGAGAATGGAGAAGAACAATGGACTTCTCCATTCTCACTCCATTGCTTTAATTCTTGTTATGTGTCTAGTCGCCCTTTTCAAGGATCGGCTGTGTTTTTGTTGGTGGTTGTGATGCTTATCTCTTGCTTGTCCCATGCTGCTGGAAGCCTTGCTGCCAGGTGATAGAACCTGAACGGCAACGGAGGCAAGCAATGTCGTTGCTGCGACTGCTGCCAAGTGTAAGAGAGGGTGCTGCTTTCACATCATATCACATGCTCTTGTTCTGTGTCTTCCTTGTTTCTTCATTTTCTCATTTTGATCCATTGTTCATCCATTCTTTGCTCTAGGGGCAAGAAAGGGCAAGGAGGTCTGTAGAATTTTCTTGACCCTGTTTTTCCTTCAACCACCACTTAGTTTGCATTTGTCGAGTTGAGCAACACGTATGTGTGGATGGGTGCGCATGGTCGCTAGGTGGGCAATTCCGGGCTGCTAGGCGCAAAGGGGGTGTCG